TATTTTTGTGCAATGATTATAATATTAGAACTGAAAAGGTTTATTCTAAAATCATTCTTACTTCTAGGGTTTCTTTTTATATCCATCCCCTCGTCTTTTCTTCTCTTTTCTTCATTCTCGTGTCCCGGCTCCTTTCCGCCAAGAGACATTATTTTCTGAACAACTTAATATTTTCATAGCTGGCTAAATGTGCATGAAACTAAAGATGTTTACTATTTTTTTAAATAAATGTATGAAGGGATTCCTAGAAATAATTGCACAATTTATATGAAAGATATTTCACATGTGCAAATTTGCACAATTTTATGATGTGGCAATGGTTTTATGGATTTTACCAGATGTTCCATGCTTCACATTATTAACAAAATTACTGAAACTGGAAATATAATTAAAAAAAAAAAAATTACACAATGTGGGCAAAGTTTACAGAAGACATGTTTTGAAAAAAATAGTAAAACTATAAAGACAGCATTAACAGCATAAGAGGGGTCATTTAGCCACTCTAGCAGACAGTCACCCCCAGAAATGAATAATCAGCCATTTATGTCAAATAAAAATAACTTACAACTAAAATTGAATATTTTCTATTGTTAAAAAAAAAGTGAAATTGTAGTAAGAAATAGTTCTTACTAAAATTTCACTTTTTTTTAACAATATTTTAAAGTAAAATTTTCTTATTCTCCAATTCTAATAAAGCAAATACTGTATTTTTATCAAAAAAAAAATCCAAGGTAGACCTAAATAGTAAAAAAATGTGAAAATGAAGACATGTATGAAACCTTGGCTTTAAGATATCTTGAAGATGGGGTTTGTAACACATTCCATTCTACCACATTAGTAAGAGTCCTTCATTGTGATTAGAAAGTGAACCAGAAGAAATGTGTGTGTTATATATATGATGGAATCTCCAGTTGTTTTCAACATAGGAGTGTCTTTCAGTTCAGTGTCTATGTTTAGTATGAGACATCAGTCCTGCATGGGATTTGCACACAAGTCCATACTAGGGACATGCTGAAGGGTTGACCATCATATAGGCTGATATATTGGCCCATGATTTAGTTTTGGGTCTTAAATTTTCTCGGATGGTTGAGACGATTCCTTTCAAAGTTAGTTATACCTTGGTGGCAGGTGTTTCTCCACTTTGCTCGGTTTTCAACAGCAAGTTCGAACTCCTCTATAGGCATGTTTGCAGCATTTAAATTGTGTGTGTATATATATATATATATATATATATATATACACACACACACACACACACAAAAATATTGTCCTTGGTGGTTTGTTTTTTGTTGTTTCTTTGTTTTGTTTTTTCTTATAATTAAAATTTCATTGAATTTCATGAACACTTAATACACTGTAAATCTCTCTTGTACATCAAAATTTTTAAAATAAAAAACCCTAAGTGAGATTGAGATAATTAATAAAAATCACAAAGGTTTGTTTTTCACTAGAAACAGTTAATTTAAGGATTTCTATCATAAATTAAGTCTGAAATGGTAAGAAGCTAGAAAATTTTGGTTTGCAAGTGGAAGGTGCAAGACCAAAATTGTCTCAACAGGGTGGCACTAGAACATTGGTTCTCAGCATGACACTCCCTTAGGGGTTCTGTGAAAATCTTAAGTAAGCAGTAGTTGTTCAGGGACATTAGAGGAGCACTAAACTTTTTAACAGTAGTAAATTGATTTAACACTCTGAATCTTAATTGTGTTGTTACAATATATCCTCATTCATATTTTTCCTTCCCTTAAATATTAACATTTTAGATGTATTTTAAATATATGCAAATGTTATATTTCCATCTAACAAAAATCTGCAAGTTCAAATCTTGCAGTTTCTATGTTCCCACCCAAACCCTGTAACTGCTGTCAAGTTGTTCACAGCTTCTTCTGGTGTTTTTTTTTTTATACAGCAAAACATAAGCCTGTGGCAGCAACTTGACTCTCTTAACCAGTGCAAATTTAATATTGAAGGCTTCAACCTGTGAAATTATTTGGAATGAGGAAGAAGAAAAAGCTAAAACTTACAGGCCTCAAAGGATATTTTCTTGCATGTCTTTTTTTTTTTTTTTTTTTTTTTTTTACACAGTAAGGTTCACTCTGTACAAGGCCTGGGGGCCACTCAAGGTAGAGGGTTATGTTAAGGGGTAGTTTATATGGATAGGAGTTATAGTTAATTGTTATCTTCCCCCTCCTATCTGTATAAACTACCCTTTAACGTAACCATCTACCTCAAGTCACACCCCAGGCTTTGTACAGCATGAAAAACACATGCAGGACATGTTCAAATTAAGTTTGTAGTGATTGGGGAAACATACTCTTGGGAGCCTGTTCCACTGGGAAGTGGTTTGTGGAAAGAAGCTCTTTGAGTTGAATTTAACTTCTTGCCAATGGAATACGGAGGGAATGTGGGTGGTTAGCTATGATGTAAGTGGCATAGTGGGTCCTAGCAATGAAGGTTACACCTGGCGGAACCAAGTAACGTCAATTATCTTCTGTCTTAATTCCAGTTCTTTTATTGTTCTCACTCCTTAATGGTTTTCTTTTTGTTATATTCTTTCACACTCAGTAATCCCCTTGTGTCTTAGGGGCTTTATTGCCTTTCTTGGAATGAAATGTTTAAAACAAAAAAAAGGCAGGATTTATTGAGTCATTGTGTTGAAATACTACTTGAATTTCTCCACATGCAATTTATTAGATGTGTAAGAACATTTTCAATTGACTAAACTAATTAAGAATGAACAGATACTTCAATTTGATCTTAGAAGATTAGATCTAGCACAGAGCTATTATGGGGTTTATGAATTTTCTGTGTCACTTTGGGAAAGGCATAAATCCAATTTTCTTCATAATTTTTATCTTTCCTATGTCATGCGCACACCATTTTAGATATTTGAATGGATAGATATGTTGACAAACCCCTCTCTATAAAATCCACTTTCCCCCCCACATAATGGCTCAAATCTGTCCATAGAGATCTTTATATCAAAGTTCAGGTATCAGGTCAGCTAATGTTTAGAGACACTATAGACTACCAGTACTTGTATTTAACCTAATTCCATGGTACTCTAATATTAAATGTAAATAGTGGGTCATCAGGGAACCGTAAGTAATGCAGCCATAGCAGCAGTATTGTGTCTTGAGCAAGATAGCATGACAGAGCTCAATCTTCTCCAGGCTGGTTTGAATTCAGTTTTCCTTCTCCTAGACTAGTTGCCAACCAAGGCTATTGGGCTTAGTCAGTCCTGCTATTTACCCATGGATTGGGAGAGAAGAGCAGTAAAAATGATTTTACCAAGAGTGTTTATGTGAATGAATGCAACCAACTCTACTGGAATTTGAACATGGCTCTCCAATTTCCCAATCTAAGTTGCACCATTTTGCATCCATAAATAGTGGGTCTTAGAGGTTATCAAATAGGCTGGCTTAAATTTTCCAATGTTTGACATAATGCAAATAATTTTAAAATGACTCAGCAGTGATCCAAATCACAGTTGATAGATAAACTGTTCTAATTTTATTCAAAATGCAGTATTATTAGTTCATATTAGTTTTCCTTTCACGAAAGCCATGGTTTTATAAAACCAGAGTGTCACTCAAGGTAGAGGGTTACAGAGTAAGAGGCACAGTTTATGGGGATATGTGGGGAAGATAGTTAACTCTAGACTTGAACAGATTGATTTTAGTGATTGTGGTTCCACAGAGCAGCTGTTCAGAATGGATAAACACATACGTAGTTGTGGTTGGTTTGAGAATTTATTTTGGCTTTGAGATTCACAACCTACAACAAAAACATATGTCATTTTTTGCCAACAATATCAGCATGATAGCAGATTTTTCCATTGACATTATTGACGGACAAGTGCCAGTTATCTGGGACATAAACATTTCATGTAAAATTCAGCTTGAATTTGAGCACTGATTTTTGTTTTTTTAATGGCTTATCAACCTTTTGCAGGTTATTTAAAGCCAAAATACATTTTATACTGTAAAAATTTTTTTGAAGATAATAAGTACAAGCCAAAGCTGAGGGGAAAAGAGGTGGATTCATGCCTTTCTCAAGGATATTTATGCATAAGTGAATATAATGAACCTGACTGGAATTAGAACTCAACTCTCCAATTTCCAACCTATTGCCCATTATACCACCTGCACATCCAAACCTACCACACCTGGTATTCCTAACTGATTATCCATCTAGGTACTGACCAGGCTCGACTGTTGTTAATCAGAAAGCTTAGTCCCAATTCCAGTTGGGTTCATTATATTCACTTATACACAAATATACTTGGGAAAGTATGAATCCACCTCTTCTTCCCTCAGCTATGGGTTAATTAGTGAGACTTGTATCACAAAACCATTATATCCCCTCCCTCCCCAAAATAAAAACAAAATTCTTTCTCTCTAAAAAATATTTTCCAGCTTCAAATAACCTGAAAAGGTTAAGCTGTAGAAAATGAACCGATCAACAACAATGATTCAACAATGTCTTGACAAATTTGGTTGATCAACCTTACTTGTGAAAGCTCTACTGAATGTCTTTAATATTTATAAACCCTATTATGATATGCAATCACAATAAAGGAACTCTTATAATGAAATTCACTCCCTAATCTGTTACAAGATGCCTTTGTACTAAAAACTAATTGATTTTTTTTTTTTTTTTTTTAAATGTTCATCCAATACATTAAGGCTGCATAGATGCTTTTGAACTCTGTTAAGTCTGTAAAGAGAGGATTGGGTAGTTCTAGCCAAAATATGGCATTAATATTCCATTTTTGGATTGTTTTGGCTCTTGATGGTCCCTGTATATGTGTCAAACTCTTTATGGTCCCTGTATATGTGTTTCCCGCTTGATGGTTCATGTCTTTGTTATATTGAATGTATCACTGAGCAAATTAAATTTCTAACTTATTAAAAGAAATAAACTCCCTTTTTAATTGGTGCATGTTTCTGCTTTTGTTTAATACACAATGATGACAAAATAAATTAGTTTGGCACCACATGAAAAAACCTGAATATTTTATTGCTCTTTCTTTTGCTAGCTTCTCTCTTGGCTGCATTTGTTGCTCTCATTTTCACTCAAGTCTTCATTTAATATTTTCTTTGTGCATTGCAACTTCATTTGCTTCCAACTTAGTGAATTACTTTTTTCTTTTTTATCATTCTCCTTCTACAGTTTTCTTCCTCATCTAGCACATGACTTCTTCCAAAATCTTTCCATTGTCACCATCTCTGGATTTTCTTTGTAGTATCTACAGATTCTGCAGCTCTCTTTTCTCTTCCAATACTGCCTTTTACACCTTCTTCTTGCATCCTTTCCTCTCTGGCTTTTTACATCCTTCTTTCATTGTTTCATTCATTGGGTTTCTTTATGCACTCCATTTTCCTCTAAAAGGTTTCTTTTCTTTGTATGTCATTCTCCTTTTGTTTCTTTTCTAGTTTGTACTTCTTGCATCTCTACTTCCTTATTTCCATGCCTGATTTCTTCTTGCACTCACTGCCTTCAGTAATTTCTTGTTTTTATATATCCATTCCTCCATCTTCATTGCTTTCTTTTTCAGCCCACCTTCTGGCATCCACTTTTTCTTCCTTCCTTCCTTCCTTCCTTCCTTCCTTTGCTTTCTTATAGATGACTATTCTTACTTCTGAAGTTACTTTTTGTATCCATCCCCGTCTCTCCATTTCTTGTTCTTCCTTCTTGTGTCCTCACCTCTCCTTTCCTTCTCGTGTCCTACCCCCCAATCTCCTTTCCTTCTCGTGTCCTACCCCCCCCAATCTCCTTTCAAATCTCCTTTCCTTCCCCCACAATCTCCTTTCCCCCTCGTGTCCCCCCCCCAATCTCCTTTCCTTCTCTCTGTCCTACCCCCCCCATCCCAAATCTCCTTTCCTTCCCCCATCTCTGTCCTACCCCCCACCCCCCAATCTCCTTTCCTTCTCTGTCTCCCCCCCCCCCAATCTCCTTTCCTTCTCTCTGTCCTACCCCCACCCAAATCTCCTTTCCTTCTCTCTGTCCCTACCCCCCACCCAAATCTCCTTTTCCTTCTCTCTGTCCTACCCCCCACCCCAAATCTCCTTTCCTTCTCTCTGTCCCACCCCCCCACCCAAATCTCCTTTCCTTCTCTCTGTCCTACCCCCCCCACCCAAATCTCCTTTCCTTCTCTCTGTCCCCCCCCACCCAAATCTCCTTTCCTTCTCGTGTCCCTACCCCCCACCAAATCTCCTTTCCTTCTCATGTCCCTACCCCCACCCAAATCTCCTTTCCTTCTCGTGTCTACCCCCCACCCAAATCTCCTTTCCTTCTCGTGTCCCTACCCCCCACCCAAATCTCCTTTTCCTTCTCGTGTCCCACCCCCACCCAAATCTCCTTTCCTTCTCGTGTCCCTACCCCCCCCCCAAATCTCCTTTCCTTCTCTCTGTCCCACCCCCCCCCAAATCTCCTTTCCTTCTCGTGTCCCACCCCCCACCCAAATCTCCTTTCCTTCTCTGTCCTACCCCCCACCCAAATCTCCTTTCCTTCTCGTGTCCCACCCCCCCCCCAAATCTCCTTTCCTTCTCTCTGTCCTACCCCCCATCTCCTTTCCTTCTCTCTGTCCTACCCCCCCATCTCTCCCTCTCTCATGCCCACCAATCTGCCTGATCTCTCTTCTTTCCCTACTTTACCATTTTCCTATTCTTGCAACTCTCCCTTTGTCCTCTTTTTCTTCTATTTGCCTGTCTCACTCTTGTCCCTTCTTTATTCTCCATTGTTTTTTTTTAAATCCTTTTTCATTTCATTTATCAACTTTATCTCATTCTGACATACTGCCCCTTCCCCATGTCTTACATTTAACTCGGTTGCATGATTTTTCACTGCCATTCTCATTGCTTCTTTTGAATCTAATTAAAGCTTGATTGTTTCTAATAAGTTTGTCAAGATGAATCTTAATCTAAAATTAATTAATATTTCTATTTTTTGGGGTATGCAAAAAAGGCAGTAATGCCACAGGCTTCATCTTGAATGTCTTGGCAAAGTAAGGAATTGGTTGTACCTTAAGAGAAGTCTGGTTTTAGCAGCTGAAGTATCTTGGGAGGGAATAATGTGAATTGATATTTGTGGAAAGAATTTAGTAGCATAGCCGCTTCTTGCTCATTTTGAATTAAAAAAAAAAAAGACTTGCTTTTAATGAATATAGGTCGAGAGGAAGTGCCTTATTGTGCTCACTTGGAACAGGATCATTTAGATGACAGTGACTGGCTGATAACTTTAAGCAAAGGATGTGAAAATTAGGACAATTTACTTTCTTTATTATAAACAAGTTTACATAAGAAAATTTTTTTTTATTCATCGTATGTTATTATAGCGGATACTTCATATTTGAAGTAGATGCCCCATTTTTAATTCTTAAAGCAGTATATACTATATTTGTCAGCTTGAACGTTTCCAGCATTCCCTTTTGTTAAGAAAACCCACTATTTGTTCCAGTGTGCTTTACTACTCGGCCATGAAGAATGTCACTGTAAGCCCCCTTCTATTTTCCCTTTTTAAAGAAAGCCCATCCTCTTCACACAGATTATTTTCTCAAAAGCATCATCTCTGCTCATTTCTGTATCTAAATTGTAAACTAAGTAATTTTTAAAGAGGTAATGGATTAATTTATAATCCGACATTTTTATTTCTCAAACATTAATACTTTGGATTTGAAAAATAATATGAGTAAGTAACCTTTGGGATAAAATTGTTCAAAAACATTTATTCAAATTGTAAATTGTTTGAATGAAAATTAATCAAAAGGACAATTATTAAGTGGTCTTGCTTTGAGAGAGTGCTGATTTATCTAGAATTAATAATGCTCTTGAAAGATGGCATAGGGCTTTTTTGCAACAAGTATCCTACCATACATAGGATGATGCCTTTCTGCCTAGAGTTTTATGATTGCTATATATATATATATATATATATATATATAAATATATAAAAAGTGTGTCTCTTATTTTTGAAGTGCATACTGAAATTGAATTGTCACCCCTAAATTTCTTCCATTCATTGAAAAATGCCACATATATAATTTTATGGAGATTGCATAATATTTAGAGGGTGCCTTTGCTTGTTAAAACTTAAAAGGTGAACAAAAAAAAATACTTTTTTTTTTTTTTTTTTTTTTAGAATTAATACCAAAGCATTATTAGTTGAATCTTTACAAATTATACACATTAAAAAACTAAAAACATTTTTTATCTAACGGTGAATTTTTGGATACAGGACAGAAACGGCTAGTCAAAATCTTTCCAGCTCCACAGCAGTGTATTCATCTTTTGCAGAAGAGTCATGGTAGAGCTCAAGGAATTGCTCTTGAAGTGCCTCTTTAACAGTTCCAACCTTACATTGAAATGGATTTCTGATCAACATGGTTTTGAGCATTGTCAGCAACAATCTTTGGGAAATATCTTTGGAACTAGTCTCGAAGAGCAGTAAGGTGATCAGCAATATCTTTAGCAATTCCTTTTGTAATAACATCATCTCCAACACAATCACTCAAACTCACAAGAGACTCGTTGTTTTATCAATGTTTCCCCATTCGTATGTCCCTTCATATTCTTCACAATCTTGTCGGCAACTTTGACGCTTTCTCAATTGCTGCTGTTTGGTTTTAGAAGGTTCCTGTCGCATCTAACCTTGGTCATTTCAAATGTTTTTAAGGCGTGGTTTCAACTGGAATGGTTTCATGGAGCAATTCCCCAAAGTTTTCACACCAAACGCACATTAAGGTACCTGCTTTCCATTCTGGATCAGAAAGGAAAATATAAAGTTTAATTTTGATAACAGCATTTTTTTGGACATCTTCTCTTGAGGAAAACAAAAAGAAAACAAATGTCAAATCATGTCTCAAAATTTGGAAAGGTTGAACAAATATAAAATTACAAGTACGAATGACAGCGAATATAACTTGCACAGTAAACAATCCTATCCCACATGGTAACAGCAATAGACTGACACAGGTCAATTACACTGTTTAAACAACAAAAAAAAAAAGGAAAAACAAACAACCACTAGCTGCCTTCTAAGTTGCTTGTTATAAAAGCCTACAAAAGAACACAAATCACAGAAAACCTCCTTCAAAACATTCCCCCTCTCTTAACAACATGAAATTGCCTCACGGGAGTTGGGAGAATCCCACCCCGGTTAAGAACCACTGGTTTAAACTCATAGCAAATTTTTTTTTTTTTTTTAAATAAAAAGGATACCTTTATTTTATAAACTTTTGTATTCATTTTTTTTACTAAATGTTTTGTTAATAAATGTACTTTGTTTCCTAAACCAACTGTAGGGCCTGAAAATAATGAATTTTAATCAATGTAGGTATTGGAGATTTAAAATGGTATTGATTGAGAATTCTATTGGAATAAGTAAAAATATTATCGTCACATCATATATATATATATATATATATATATATATATATATATATATATATATTTATATATATAAAATGTTTGATCTATAATCTCAGAAATTTTTTCCATAAAAATAAAAAGTTTTTTTGTTTTTGAATATCCACTCCACCTTAGTGAAACATAGCCCTTGGAATCTAGCTAGAACAAAACCGGGTGCATTTGACATCAGGTAAAACAGTTTTGTACCAAAGACAGATTTTGAAAATAATCCTATTTTGAAGGAAAACTGCAAATATAATGGTTTGCCCATGGGGTAATGGTTTTACCTATACTTGCATTTCAAGTGCAAGGTTAGATTCCTTACAGAAAACTAAAGTGAAGCAAAAACCGACTGGTAATTTAGCATCCAAAAAGACATCAGACAATAAAAGATGGAGTGACATCAGACTGTCTATCTATCAAATATTGACTGCCTCAAATTTCATATGATTTTCAGATGAGTGTTTGAGTTTCTAAAATAAATTGTTACTATTGATTTTCTCTGATATTTCTTTCATTGTATTTTTGTTGCCTTCAATTGGAAAATTCAGATTGTCCTCTAACCATTAACAATGAGTTATCTTACGATGACAGCACTTTATCACTTAAGCTACATAAACTAAGCAATTATTAAAAATTTAATCTCTTCTGATCTCTGCTATGCTGCCAAGTTTCTTTTTTTTCTTTTTTTGTTTTTTTCTAGTGGATTCAGAATTTCTTAAATGAAGGATTGTTATAAATTTTGGTCAAAATTTGGCTTTCTTTCTTCCTCTCTTTTAATAACTGCTGATGGTGGAAGCACAATTTATTAGTGATTACTCAAAATACTTATTTAAAAGTCATTATTATAAAGTATTATGGAAATAAAATAATTCTCTTTTTCTTTTTTTCATCAATTTATGTATTAAACTATTTCGCTTAGACTAATTAAGTAGACATATTATTGAAATGTCATTGAAGTAAAAATAAGGAAAACAATGTTTGGAATCCTTTGCTAAATTTTAAATGGTTTTATTCCTTTCAAAAGGCAACATTACAACTTAATATCTTTAATTTAAATCTTCCCTTCAGTTGTTTTATCTGGGGGTTCGTCTCCAATCCCTAATCTCAAGCAAAATCCACCCCTACCTTCCTCACTCTTTCCCTCAGTGGATAGTTTGACTCCATTTCCGGTGTTTGTCTTATCATACTCTTCCATCTTCACTAACAAGCCTCATAGCACCCTTCCCCAACTCCTCAGTAACCCCCACAACCGCCGCCACCACCAATTGCCAACTTTCTATGATACCCTATTTGGGCGAGGCCCTCAGGTTCCAAACCATCTGCAAATCATTGTACTGTCATGTATTGTCTGCTTTTGCAATCAGTGTTCTTCCTTTTGGAATAAACACTTGGCTATCTTCTTGTTGTCTGGCATTGTTGCCACACTTCCTGTCTGCCCTATTTGCCACACTTCCTGTCTGCCCTGTTTGCCATGCTTCCAGCTAGCATGCTTAAAACTTGAACATCTTACCTACAATCCAATTCCTAAGTCATTTAAGAATGAGTGATTAGTTTTTTTTCTAATAACTTACAATTTTGTCTAACTTCCAAATAATATTCATTGTTTATAGCTAATGGTTTTATAGTCGGCCCCTACCTGATAAGCATGAAGTTATTGTTTATGACTTAATGTATCTAACTTATGAATTTAACACATAGCTAGAACAATAACTAATAATGAAATTGTCATCACATCATGTCACAAATCCTGTAACCTCTTAGAATTGTAATGGCTCCATACATACTGCACAATGGCTCATAACAACAACAAAGATGAGAACAATAGTCCATATCTAAATAAATTTAAACCCTATTACATAATTATCATGAAGCTGAAAGAAAGCTCTCCCATTGTGCTGCTGAAACCACCCACAGCATCAAGTGTTTGATGGGGCATAATCAGCTTTGGAACAATGTGTCATTGGTTCTATATAATAAAAAAAAAAAAAAAAAACTCTTGGATATTTAATGGCAGATGTGATTTAAATTTCTAAGTTCTCCACTCGGGATTGTCCCAGAGCATAACAGCCTCATGCAATGCTACTCAAAGTGTTCTATGTGTACCAGTATCAGTACAGTTTCCAAGAAACAAAGAAATGGTAGTCACATTCCATTATATGGGAGATTGCTAGGATATCTCTATTTTTTTAACATTTTAGTTTTATGCTTATTATTGTTACATTTTTCAATTGCTCATTCATGTTAAATCATTGCTATACAACTAATGGATGAGATATAATGAACAGTGAAATGAAATGCATGTGACTATGCAGTCATACCTAGAACTACCAAAAGACCGTTTTCATGGACTATATTTCTAATTTGGCCTTTAAAAATTTTTCTGGCTGTAGAAAAAAAAAAAAAAAAACCACATGAATTTTGGCCAAATTTGTTCAAATTAGCATTTAACTTCTTAGATTCATAATGTGGCTGATTAGCAGATTTCACTGTAAGTCTGTAACAACCTTGGTGCATGCATATGGGCTGGCGTGTAGGGTTAGAAGTAGCAGCACTTTTTGTCAGAATTACAATCTTTCTCGGCCACTTGTCACACTATATTCACCTAAAAATAAATCATTTTCTGGGAAGAAAATAAAGCAGGGTCAGTGTGTACTACTCTACCCCCTCCTCTCACCCCTGGCAACTCCAAGCTGGATTTTAAAGCTTTACTTGCTGGTCTCTTGCACATTGAGAAGAAAAAAAAAATGCCGGTAAGCCACATCAGATAGTTTGAGAGGCACTGGTTTAGTGGATTGTGAATTTGGTGCCACAGTACATATGAGTTCAATCTTTTGGTCTCTGGGTGAGCAATAACCAAATAGTACAAAAAAAAAAAAAAAAAGAACCCTTGACAAGATATCCCTAGACACAGTGTAATGAGAAAAATCTGCTCTGATAGATTAAATAAAGGATTCATTTCAAAATTCCATGAAGGTTGTAAGCTAGGAAAAGGTTACTGAATGCAAATAACCCAAACGAAGGTTGGAAATGGAAAGATATTTATAACAGAAACAATATACGAGATTCGCCAGCGGCATGTAGCAGGTAATCAATTGCTAGTGGAGACCTAGAAGTGAATTAAGGTGAATCGCAAGTGAATCCCGAAGGGAAGATATCTACTAACCACTTCACGCAATCAGATGTGGCACAAGACTGAAATTTAGTGTGGGATATCCAAGCTTGGGTAAAAATTCGCCGTAGACCCAGGGTATGGTAGCTGTCTCCTGAGACGATTCTGCCCTTTGACTTAGACTCATCTGGGGATTCTCTCTGCTCTTAAGAAAGACGTGTGTCTACTTCTCCCAGCCATGACTAAATGGCAAGGCAGTTAGGGCCCTCTATTTCCCTTAGGCAGTCTAGTGAAGAACGTTATTGTTGCAACCTAGGAAAAGGGTTATTGAATAGGAATAACCAAAATGAAGGTTGGAAATGGAAAGATAATATTTATAACAGAAACAACATGAAATATGCCAGCGGCGTGTATTAAATAATCAACTACTCGTAGTGAGCTAGAAGTGAATCAAGGTGAATCGCAAGTGAAATACCACAGTGAATCAGCATACAGTATATTTCACTGTATTTATAAGGATTGGGACATATCCATTATAGTCCATAGGTACAGTATAGCAGTTTTACAGATTGACAAGTACCAAATGAAAGCCAAAATGTTGTAGTAACAACAAAGGTGAGCACAGTAGTAAATAATGAACCAGCTTTTCTCCCTTAGCTTTGGATTAAATAAACTTGTATCTGGAAAAATCATTATCTCTGCAAAACTGTTAATCACTCACAAAAAAATAGACTCTCTTGTTTCAGCTTTAACCCACAAATGGGTGATAAGCCATAAAAAACAATGAATCACAAACAACAGTTGTAAATATAATGACAACTATTTGAGCGTGGTTATCATTTAATCATTAAGAATTGAAGACAAAAAAATTCTTGGGATGTTAGGAACAAAGCTGAGGACATCCCAGACAGCAGTCACAAGACATCTGGCACAAATTGATAAAGTGAAGAAAATGCAAGATGGTTGGCATCTTGCACAGTTTGATTCTTATTCAATTTACGTGGTTGTTTAAAAAATGAGCTTTTTTTTTTTTTTTTTTTTTTTCTTGAAAAGTTTTTTTTTTTTTTTTTTTTTTTTCTTGAAAAGTTTTTTTTTTTTTTTTTTTTATTTTTTTCATGAAAAGTTTTTTTTTTTTTCTTCTTTATTTTTCATGAAAAGTTTTTGTTTTTTTCTTTTCTTTATTTTTCATGAAAAGTTTTGTTTTTTTTTTTTCTTTATTTTTCATGAAAGTTTTTTTTTTTTTTCTTGAAAGGTTTTTTTTTCTTTTTTTTTTTTGTATGAAAAGTTTGTTTTTTTTTCTTTTCTTATTTTTCATGAAAAGTTTGTTTTTTTTTTTCTTATTTTTTTCATGAAAAGTTTTTTTTTTTTTTCTTATTTTTTCATGAAAAGTTTGTTTTTTTTCTTTCTTATTTTTTTCATGAAAAGTTTGTTTTTTTATTTTTTATTTTTCATGAAAAGTTTTTTGTTTTTTTTTTCTTATTTTTCATGAAAAGTTTTTTTTTTTCTTTTCTTATTTTTTTTATGAAAAGTTTTTGTTTTTTTTTTTTCTTATTTTTCATGAAAAGTTTTGTTTTTTTTTTTCTTATTTTTCATTTTTCAAAAGTTTTTTTTTTTTTTTTTATTTTTTCATGAAAAGTTTTTGTTTTTTTTTCTTTTCTTATTTTTCATGAAAAGTTTTTGTTTTTTTTCTTTTCTTATTTTTCATGAAAAGTTTTTGTTTTTTTCTTTTCTTATTTTTTTTTTTCTGAAAAGTTTTTTTTTTTTTCTTATTTTTCATGAAAAGTTTTTTTTTTTTTTTCTTATTTTTCATGAAAAGTTTTTTTTTTTTTTCTTATTTTTTTTTGAAAAGTTTTTGTTTTTTTTTCTTTTCTTATTTTTCATGAAAAGTTTTTGTTTTTTTTTCTTTTCTTATTTTTCATGAAAAGTTTTTGTTTTTTTTTCTTTTCTTATTTTTCATGAAAAGTTTTTGTTTTTTTCTTTTCTTATTTTTCATGAAAAGTTTTTGTTTTTTCTTTTCTTATTTTTCATGAAAAGTTTTTGTTTTTTTTTTTTTTATTTTTCATGAAAAGTTTTTGTTTTTTTTCTTTTCTTATTTTTCATGAAAAGTTTTTGTTTTTTTTCTTTTCTTATTTTTCATGAAAAGTTTTTGTTTTTTCTTTTCTTATTTTTCATGAAAAGTTTTTGTTTTTTCTTTTCTTATTTTTCATGAAAAGTTTTTTTTTTTTCTTTTCTTATTTTTTTTTTGAAAAGTTTTTTTTTTTTCTTTTCTTATTTTTCATGAAAAGTTTTTGTTTTTTTTCTTTTCTTATTTTTTCATGAAAAGTTTTTGTTTTTTCTTTTCTTATTTTTTCATGAAAAGTTTTTGTTTTTTTCTTTTCTTATTTTCATGAAAAGTTTTGTTTTTTTCTTTTCTTATTTTTTCCTTGAAAAACTTTTTTTTTTCTTTTCTTATTTTTCATGAAAAGTTTTTTTTTTTTTTTTCTTATTTTCATGAAAAAAAAATTTGTTTTTTTCTTTTCTTATTTTTCATGAAAAGTTTTTGTTTTTTCTTTTCTTATTTTTCATGAAAAATTTTTGTTTTTTTTCTTTTCTTAGTTTTTCATGAAAAGTTTTTGTTTTTTTTTTTTTTTTTTTTTGAAAAGTTTTTTTTTTTTTTACTTTTCTTATTTTTCATGAAAAGTTTTTGTTTTTTTCTTTTCTTATTTTTCATGAAAAGTTTTTGTTTTTTTCTTTTCTTATTTTTCATGAAAAAATTTTGTTTTTTTTTTTTCTTATTTTTTGATTTTTTTTTTTTGTTTTTTTCTTTTCTTATTTTTCATGAAAAGTTTTTGTTTTTTTTTCTTTTCTTATTTTTCATGAAAAGTTTTTGTTTTTTGTGCAATAGAAGGATTTACAGGTGGTGTCATGGATAATGGCACAGAATGAGAAACTGGAGGTCTGAGTTCAAATTCCAGTAAAATTGATTAGTCACTTGTACACAAATACCTTTGGAAAAAGTATGAATCCATCTCCTTCCTCAGCTATGGGTTAAATAGTAAAACCTGTATGTGAAAAAAATTATCGCCAAAAAATTGTTAATGTAATATTAACTAGCAAATAAAAAACAATTATTCTTACAATACAGAATGTTGTGGCTTTAAATAACCCACAAAGGTTTGATAAACCATAAAAAAAAATTACAAATGCCACCCAAATTAAAAAAAAAGAACATAATTCTTTACATTGAAAATACTTCAAGGGAATCCTTATTAATATTTTACCAACTATAAACACATGTCAAAAGCACTATATTATATCACTCATCTTTATTGAAGCCATTTTAAAGAATCTAATGTATGTTTATCTACCACAACTAGTGTTTATGTAAAAACATTCCCAAATCAACATACAAACACCAAACATAAATAAGGTCTACTAAATGCTTATACCTACAAACATACATTATCATCCAAATCCCACATAGACAAACTAGAATTATGATACGCTTACATACATAAAGTAATATTTACATTTTCCAGTTAGTTGGGATCTGTTAAATTTATTTTGAGCTTCAAAAAGACATGTCTTCCCTTGAGATCAAAATGCATAAATTATACTAATGTTACTCAACAAGTCAAATGCACATGAAGCCTGATTAACCAATGAAAATCAAACAACATAAAAATATCAATTTCTTTGCTTTATTTTTTTTTTTTTTTTTTTTTTACCCATATCTCATTCTCTGATGAAGCTTCCATAAAATTGAAATTGATTATATTGATAAACGTTTCCTATTTGTTCTTTATCCTATCAAATCAATCAATGTATGATAGAAAAAAGAAATGTAGCTTTTTGGAGTTGAGAAACTTGTTCTCCCAACTCTTTGATTTTTCAACAAACCAATTCTTCAGACACCAAAGATTCTCCTTATTATTTGGGTGTGTGCTGGGTGGGGGTACATAAAAGGAATTAACCTCTTTCAGCCTGGGGGAGGCTATCCTGGCAGAACTACATTTTTATCTCAACTTTGTTGATTATTGTAAGAGATCTGTCCTTGTGCAAGATAATCCAAGATTTCATAACCCACCCAATAAAATCTTTGTGCAGTTAGGCATCAATCTTTTTCTTTATCTCTATCTTTATCTTCTATTTTACTCTATCTTTACCTGCTTTTTTTTATTGCTTTTTTCTAAATCTTTATCTCTATCTTTATCTATATATATTTATATATATATTTATATATATATATATATTTATCTGAACTTTAGCAGGTCTCATACTCAATCTCAAACAATCTCAAAAATTTATCTTCTATCATTTTTCAAGTATTAAATTATAATAATTTCTATCTTTACAAGAACCATTTTTCTCAATAGTCATCTCTCTATTGCTTTTCATAACCTCTATCATATATAGGGATGTGTATCCATCTTTATCCCTCTGTGGTTCATGAATCCATAGTAAATACTAAACTAGAGAGAGAGACACACACACACACATGTACACACTGTATTTTCAAGCTTACAAGACATACTTTTTCCTTTAAAAAAATCTCTCTATACCTTCTTTAAAATGTGTGTGTCTTTTATCTCTCTAGACAAATGTAATCTTTAATGCCCAGGCTCATCTTTATCTCTCTATTTTTATCTCTCTCTATCTTTATCTCTCTATAATCTCTCTATCTTGACTGATATCTTTTACATGTATTTGGATGTTGTCTTTACACTATAATCTTATCTGTCTATCTTTATCTCTCTATTTTTTATCTTTATGTAGCCTCAGTTTACTTAGCTGTTATCAAGTATTTTAAGACTATAAACTTTATCTCTTCCTGGAGCCAAATCATCTTTATCTCTTAAATATGATCTGTTTTTACTCTCTATCTTTATCAGCTCTATCTTTTATCTCTTTTTTATCTCTCTTCTTGACTATCTTTATCTCATTTTACCATATCTTTATCTCTATTTTAAGATCTTTATTAATGTAAATCTCTATCTTTATAGTTTATCCATCTATGTCTCTCTATCTTTACATCTATCTTTATCTGTTGTTGCATGAGAATTTTTATCTCTATCTTTATCTCTATCTTTATCTCTATCTTTATCTCTCCTCTTTATCTCTATCTTTATCTCTCTATTTATCTCTCTATCTTTACTCTTTTTTATCTTTTTTTTTTCTTTTTTATCTTTTTTTTCTCTCTATCTTTTTTTTTTTTCTTTTTTTTATCTCTGTTTTTTTTTTTATCTTTCTTTTTCTTTTTTTTTTCTTTTTTTTTTTTCTTTTCTTTTCTTTTTTTCTTTATCTTCTTTTTATCTTTTCTTTTTTCTTTTTCTTTTCTTTTCTTTTTTCTATCTTTTATCTTTTCTTTTTTTATCTTTTCTTTTTCTTTTCTTTCTTTTTTTTTTTCTTTTCTTTTTCTTTTTATTTTCTTTTTTTTCTTTCTTTTTTTTCTTTTCTTTTTTTTTTCTTTTCTTTTTTTTCTTTTTTTTTTTTTTTTTCTCTCTATCTTTATCTCTCTTTTTTTTCTCTCTCTCTTTCTTTCTTTCTCTCTCTATCTTTATCTCTCTATCTTTATCTCTCTATCTTTATCTCTCTATCTTTATCTCTCTATCTTTATCTCTCTATCTTTATCTCTCTATCTTTATCTCTCTATCTTTATCTCTCTATCTTTATCTCTCTATCTTTATCTCTCTATCTTTATCTCTCTCTCTCTCTATTTCTCTCTCTCTCTCTTTTATCTCTCTCTCTCTCTTCTCTCTCTCTCTTATCTCTCTCTCTTTATCTCTTTTTATCTCTCTATCTCTCTGTCTTTATCTCTCTCTTTATCTCTATCTTTATCTCTCTCTTTATCTTCTCTCTCTCTCTCTCTCTTTATCTCTCTCTCTCTGTTTTATCTCTCTCTCTCTCTTTATCTCTCTCTTTATCTCTCTTTATTTCTCTCTCTCTATCTCTCTCTTCTTTATCTCTATCTTATCTCTCTATTTTATCTCTCTCTCTCTCTGTTTTATCTCTCTTTATCTCTCTTTATCTCTTTTATCTCTCTCTCTTTATCTTCTCTATCTTTATCTCTCTCTCTTTCTCCTCTCTTTATCTCTATCTTTCTCTCTCTCTCTCTCTTTCTCTCTATCTTTCTCTCTCTCTCTTTATCTCTCTCTCTTCTTTCTCTTTATCTCTCTCTCTTTATCTCTCTCTTTATCTCTCTTTTTATCTCTATCTTTTATCTCTCTTTATCTCTCTCTTTATCTCTCTCTTTATCTCTCTCTTTATCTCTATTTTTATCTCTTTTTATCTCTTTTTTATCTTTTTTCATTTTTATCTCATTTTTAGAAATTTTTATCTCTATTTTATCTCTCTATCAATATTAGAAATAGGGGTGAATATTTCCAGCCAGAAAATACTGTGTGTGTATATATATATATATATATATATATATATATATATATATATATATATATATATAATGAAATGGACAAAGTCCAACAATTATATTTATAAAAAGAATGTATAAACATAAAAAAGGTCTTTTTATTTATATATGAAATCTATTTACATAAATATTTTCTTTTGTGTTAATTTTGTTTTATTTTTTAAAATCATTTTGTCCCAAACAAGGCAATAATGCCATTAAGATTCAAGGGGTGAAAGTAAGAAGATAAGACAATAAAGGAACAGGATTTAAGAAGATAGAAGTTTAAGACATTTTTGAAGACCATAAGTAACTAGGAAGCAAGAAACTATTTCAACATTAAAATGTGACCTAGTTGACAAACTAGTAGTACACTTAAATTAATGTGGTCAAGGTACCAGAAATGAAAGCTTATTAGAAAAATTGACATGAAAATATTTATAGAAAAGTCACAGGGAAGCCATGCCATAGTGGTTTTTATATATGAAATATGTATTCCTTTCTTGTTTTCCATTTTTAGGACAATGGGTATTAATGTTTTATAGGTGGAAGTCTAAAATTAAGCCCGTTTTCCCCCTCTATACAGTAGGTGGCAAAAATGAAACAATATTAAGCAATATACAGTAGCCTCTACCTGATTTACAGGAAATAAATTCCAAGACTGGTCCCCACCCACCATTGTTTGCCTGAAACTGTTTAAACCTATATATAGATATATATTTTTTTTTCTTGCTTATGATAAATTTAAATTTATATGTTAGAAAGATTTCAAGAAATAACTGATAATAAAATTGAATAATCATGACAACCTGTCTATATTTCTGAGATGAGGTATTATGTACATTATTTGGACTATTGTCCTCATCTTTGTCGCCATTATCACAACGTTTCGGCCGTTGTACGCTCTGGCCTTCTTCAGGTGGTTGGAATGTCAAACTGAACCCTTTATTTCGCTCACTATGGTAGACTGTTCTAGTTCCACGTACCATGTTTGATGGATGTCAGTTATCTCCTGTTAATTTCCCTCTGAAAGTTCTCCACTGCTTTAACTCTCACTGTTTGGGTCCTGTCACTGGACCTAACCAACGCCTTTATCCACTGTGCCATGTGTCCTTGGGGACATCTGGGTATGAATTTCTGGTTATTATAAACCTAATGTCTTCAGCAACCATTTTTACCAGTGCTCATATTGAACAGTCTACCCCAGTGAGCGAAATAAAGGGTTCAGTTTGACATTCCAACCACCTGAAGAAGGCCGGAGAGCATACAACGGCCGAAACGTTGTGATAATGGCGACAAAGATGAGGACAATAGTCCGAATAATGTAAATAATCATGACAACATATTGGAATTAAAGATTCAGCAAACTTGGACCTTCATGTCCACAAAAAAACAGTGTCAAAAGGATGGTTTTTCCCTTGACACTGCTATTATTTTAACTACCTTCACTCTCAGCAGTGTTTGTTTTAAGAAGCAATGATTAGAATTGCAATAAAACCCAAACATATGAAAGTAAATTTATACATTTTATTTTTGTTTAGAGAATTTACAACAAAAATATTAAACACTATTTATTTAAATGAGTGAATATTTCACTAAAATATATTGGGAAATTTCTTAAAAAACAAAAAAAACTTCAAGCTATATTGTAACAATATATAGAAAAATGAAGGTGTCAGTTTAAACTGACACCAGGAGGATGTCTGACTTTGGTCTTCTAACTTAAACAATTTACAACTCTATTTACATTATTCGAACAATTGTCCTCATCTTTGTCACCATATTACAACATTTTGGCCATTGTATGCTCCGGCCTTCTTCAGGTGGTTGGAATGAATCCTTTCTTTCACTCACTGGGGTACTCTGTTCTAGCTCCATGTGCCATGTTTAATGGATGTCAGTTATCAGTTATCTCCTGTTAATTCCCCTCTGAAAGTTCTCCACTGCCTTAGCTGGGTATTGAACTCACACTCTTTGGGTCTTAACACTGGATCTAACTAAGGCAGTGGAGAACTTTCAGAAGGAAATTAACAGGAGATAACTGATAACTGGCATCCATTCAACATGGTATGTGGGACTAGAACAATCTACCCCAGTGAGCGAAATAAAGGGTTCAGTTCAACATTCCAACCACCTGAAGAAGGCCAGAGCATACAACGGCCGAAACATAATAAATATGGTGACAAAGATGAGGACAATTGTCTGAATAATGTAAATATCGCATCTCAGAAATATAGACATTTACAACTTTATATATAAAGGTCATTTGAGCACTTCAATGTGGTGTAATGGTTAATAAGCTTGTATCGGTAGATAAATTATGACTGGGTAATCAGTTTGATCCTCATTGGGTGCTCTATACTTTAGGCTCTCACCATATATGAGTGGCCATTCTTGCAAATATTGCACTTTGGGTTCATTATTGAGTAAAACTTGTCTGTCTTGGGTTAATGGTCAGGATTGAATATCATGGAAATCAAAACTGCAGATGGGGGGGGGGTTATTATATTTTGACAGTGTGTATGTGTGTGTCACTACCCACCCAAGATATTTTCCAACATTTTCTCCCCCACCCCACCATTTGATCTCTCACCACCCTCTTCTTCCACTTCCTTTTCTCATTCAATTTAACTTTATTAATTAATTTGCTAATGACACGTGTTTTTGTTTTTTATATTAATTGACATCAGATGGGTTGAATGAGAGAAATTATTTCCTCCTTTCCTTCATAAAGGGTGGAGGGATATCACTACTACTACCACTGCACGAACGAGAGGGGGGAAGCAAAGAGGAGTCTATTGTAATTGTATTCACTCATGCAACTCCCCCTAATTCCTCTACCTACTTCCAAATGAAGAAAAATGATGTTTTCAGAGTCCAGGGGTTAATAAAACTGGACTTGAATTGAGATTGAACTGAGTGTGTGTTATACAGGGTGTCTATAAAGTCTCTTTAGAATTTAAAAAATTTATTACAAGAGCAAATGAACAAATATGTGGAAATGGTTACAAAACAAGGAGTAGCTATTGAATTTTTTTTTTTTTAACTCTTTTAATACACCTTGAAGAGAGCACCATTTGCTGCATGAAATGTATCAAGATGGGACTCGATTTCTTGACATGTTTGCTGTAGCATAGCCTCATCAATGGTGGCAATGGCATCAGTAATCTTTTGCTTTAGATCAGTGATGTTCTGTATCTTTGTTTGATACACAATATCTTTAACATAACCCCATAGAAAGAAATTCAGGAGAGTGATATCTGGTGAACAAGGTGGCCAGGGAAATTGGGCCATCCCTTCCAATCCATTGGTCTGGAAATGTTAGGGGTTCATTTAACATTCCTTTTTTCATCAATAAGATACATGAAATACACAATTACAATATGATTAAAAACTTTGATAACCATGGAAGCCCTTGTTCAATAAAGGTCCTAAATTTATGAATAAGGCCTAATTTATTCCTATATTTAAGGGAATTCATGGCTATAAGAATTTGTCGTACGAGGCACTTACTCATATTTGTAGTCCCCTCACAATCCTTCCGGACCTTCCAAATCTTTGTTGCAATTGTTTCTAACAGCTGTAAATTGCAGTACATCTTCACAAGTTGAACTTGCCACGCTTCCAATAACAAAACTGTTGAATGGTCGTTAGGTGACCAGTCTTTTAAGCAGCATTTGATTTTCGAAAGCACGAGTTCTAAATTGGTATCAACACTTATGCCAGTAGACAATGAGCCTTCTTTAGTGTTATAGTGGAACACACCTATTCTATAGTTAATAGACTCTCCCACCTATAATAAGTAAGAGTAACGAGTCGGTCAGTGAGTCAGTTGATGCCGGACGACAGTTAGTCGAATACTAAAGTATCAGCAACCACAACTAGATTACTCTGCGTTATACCTATTATATCAAGTTCCTAACGTTTTGTACGTCGAATCTATTTTAGGACCGACTTAGTACAAATACAAGCCTCCACTGTGAAATCACTCCACAACATTTAGCTAAGTTGATGATGCAGTCACAAATATGCTGCTTGTAGTCTCCTTATCGCCATCCCTCCAGGAAGATGTTCCAGTGACACAAGATGGGAGGATGATGGTGTTGTTAATATCACATCGTTCAACTGGTTTCCATTTTGTGCCGTAGAGTTGAAAACTAAAATGCAGTTTTCTGCACTTCACACATCATCAAACGTCTTGACATCTGAAAGGAAGCCAAGCTCCCCCACCATTCTGTTAAGTGTTGTGGAAATTTTTTTGAAAGAGCAGTGTTCCAGAGACAATGTCTTCAAAATATATATTAACAGTCGAGAAACACGAGAAGCAGGAACTCCATTTAAAAGATGGTCATAATGGAGTTTCTTGTTAACAGAATAATGGGAAATATTTTTTTCTTTTGATTTTTATTGGCCCGTTGATTAAAAAAAATTTTTTTTTTCTTTGTCATCTGTTTTTTAAGGCTTATAATCTTAGTAAATTTGCACAAAGAAATAGCAGATGAACACCAGTTAGAAGTTTCACAAGACAGGGTAGAAGATGCAGCAGACATAGTCACAGCAGAAAGGTTTGCAGCAGACTGGATTGTAGTTGCGATTGGGTGGTGGTCAAAAGAAGCAAGTGTGGCAGTGGTAAATTTAGCAACAGAATGGACCAGCACTTTTTATTTTTTTTTTTTCCCCCCCCCCACTCCTTTATTTCCTCCTTTATTTCCCCCTTTTTTTCCCCCCCATCCCCCCCTCCTTTTCCCCCCCCCCACTCCTTTTTTTTCCCCTCATTCCCCCCCCTTATTTTCCCCCCCCTCCCTTTTATTTCCCCCTTATTTCCCCTCCCTTATTTTTTCACCCCTTATTTTCCCCTCATTTTTTTTTTCCCCCTCATTTTATTTCCAAATTTCCCTTATTTTTTTTTTTTTTTTTTTTTTTTTTTTTTTTTTTTTTTTTTTTTTTTTTGTAAAATGC